CGGCTGTTCTTCGCGGGACATTTTGTTGGGAGGACGAAGGGGTACCAAAAAGCGGAGGATTAAAAACTCCTGCTCACAACAATCAGCGAGATGATGAGGAAGCCAAGTACCACTACCTCATGTTTAAAAGGTAAACGGTTCAACGATCAATTGCTGGTTTCCATGATACTATCAGATAGGTCGTTGAAGGGAATGCAACGTGTATGACTGGACTCAGAAATATCCCAAGCTACCAGCGCCACATATTTTCCACATAAAACGGCATACGAAAGAATTCAGCGGTGTGGTTGTGATGGAAGACATTGGCGAACGTGGCGTGCAACAAGACGCAATCAAAGGGCTTACGGTAGGCGAGATTGTGAATTCAAAGCCGAAGAAAACACATAATGTTGGCCCTTGCATGAAAGAAAGGAACCACAGCTTTTTGTTCAATGCAGGTTTCCGCTCTTCTTAGGTTTTCTTGCTTCTTGACTGATTTCAAAGGAGAGCGGTCACCGTGATCACCGTTTGTTTCCCCGCAAAATGGAGACCGGTTCACGTTAGGTTGAAGGTTCAGCATTTGGGCACTGAGCAATGCTCACAAAAACGGTTGCACTTCTGTAATCTGGGCCGACGTCTTATGTTGGGCCGCGCTCATACTCCACGATTTCAACCAGGAGTTCAAGGGACAGTGGAAAAGATGCGTATTGATTTAGAGTTGCCAAAGCCGAATAAATTGGATGCTTATTCAACGGTTTACCTAGAGACTCTCGATCTCAAATTTTCCTCTTCCAATTGAGAACGTGCTGAATCTTTTCCGAACCTGCTAATTTCTCATATCCTGAAGTATGGGCGCAGGCAGAATCTACGATGAAAAGTTAGCTCATTGAAAATAATGGATAGAGGTGGCTAGTGGAGCAGGGGCGAAGAAGAAAGCGCGTGAAACGGCCCGAAACCGCCCTTTAGTTTGCGCACTGATCCGATTATCAATACTCTTTCACTTTTTCATAAAAAAACTCTAATTATAAATCTAACTGACTTGAAAAAAGTTTAATTTGTATTAAACCTAAATTAACTCAAATATCAATAATTCTTTTACGCTAACACTTTTGAAAATTTTATTTAATAATTACTACAATAATGTAAAGTCAAATTCTTTATACCTCTCCTCCCTTACTGATGAGCACAGGGAGAGGATACTCTTTCGTTTAGTCTCCGTCTAAGGGCACGTGCGAAACGGAGACTAAACTACTCTTTGATCCCACCCCCTAAATAAATTTTGAATAAAACACACATAACAATATTGAGATCGAAAAACAAAAACAAAACAGTTTTAATTTTACAAATAGAAAAGTTTAATCATATATAAAGCCATTAATTTTATTTTTATCATAGATGCGTCCTCTTCAACGTTACGCTCTCTTTGCTATCTCACTATCTTGTGAGCAGGTAGGACTGAGCTTCAAAGCGGGTGCGAGTCTTCCACGGGGGAAAGGAAGCAGACCCGAGAGTCTTTCTCCCTCTTCTAACCAGGAAGGTCTTTCAGGGCGTGCCAAGCTTTTTGAAAACGGTCTTTTGCATGATATAGGGGCACATGCGGGAACCACAGAACCATGGTTCATTTTTCCTGAACGGCCCTCTGAATACCAGAAAAGGGGTCCCTAGTTCGATTCCTCGTGGTGACAAATTTTTGCATTTCGAGTTGAGTTGACGTTCCAAAATTCGCGCAAAATGGAGTTAGCATGAATAATTAGTACCATATTCATGATTAGGACCGTCAGTAACCCTTACAAAAAGACTTTGACTTAAAAATTGGTGTAAGAGGTGTGACACCAAGCAGCCCCACTGTGGTGTCACACCTTTTTCACCAGTTTTTTAATCAAAGTCTATTTGTAAGGTTACTGACGGTCCTAATCATGAATATGGTACTAATTATTCATGCTAACTCCATTTTGCGCGAATTTTGGAACGTCAACTCGAAATGCAAAAATTTGTCACCACGAGGAATCGAACTAGGGACCCCTTTTCTGGTATTCAGAGGGCCGTTCAGGAAAAATTGAACCATGGTTCTGTGGTTCCCGCATGTGCCCCTATATCATGCAAAAGACCGTTTTCAAAAAGCTTGGCACGCCCTGAAAGACCTTCCTGGTAAGACTTAGTCTAAACGCCTACAATATAGAGTGTGCCATCTGTGATTTTAGGGCGTTGACCATTTTAAATCGCAATGTTCCTCCTTCTTGGTTGGAGCCCGGGTTGCGTTCACACGTAGTTTTGCCTTATTTACTTACAATTAGTTCTGCCTTTTGGCTCTATCAGCACAACTCGTCCACTCATCCTTTGCACTGCTCGCGTGCTCGTCCAAAGTGGATGTCAAAAGACAAGAAGGTGTCCCATTTGTTGTGTTCTCGGCTATTTTTTCGGTTTTTTCTCTCTCGACCATCTATAACTTATTTTCCAATGAGCTGCTTTTTTGTCGTAAAACCCGTTTTTTGACCTGTATACTCCTAACAATAACTCGTTTGAAGACATTGAAATTCTGGATAAGTAGAACTTAAACGTTTGATGAGTCCAAAAAAGAGTACTGATCAACGCGCAGCGACTGCCACGTCTTTCGAAA